GTAAAGGCTTTCATCCTTCACAGTAATATGTTGACTTCACTAATATAAGGGTGCCTGGTGAGGAGCACTGTTACTATATCTGAATGAAAATAACTATGAATAAAGTATCACTTCCTTTTTCTTGATAAGTATCTAGAGATATTTTTCCTTTTTTGTATGTATGTTCTGCATGAAACTGCAAAAAATAAACCACTTCAGATCTGATTTGTAATTTGTGAGGGTGAAAAATAGTACTGCTAAATAAAAAAAAAAATCAAGATAAATATTGCCTGCATGCTTAGCAAGACATTCCTTTTATAATCCCAATTAAAACCTTTCTAAATTCTTCAGCTCTTCATGTTTGTCACATACTTGAAGATCTTTCACAGTCTATTTTTACTGACTGGAGGGAACATGCTAATGTTTCTTCACCAATTTGCAGGAAGAATTTACTTTTTCGTTACATATACTATTTTGGTAGTGATTTCCCATCATCATTTTTTTCCCTTACAATACCTAAATCTTAATTTTGGTAAATTCTGTCAGGCAGTTTATCTTGCAATCTTGTAAACTTAGATATAATAATAACCTGACTTTAACAGCTGAGGTTTAAGAAAATTATTTGATAGATATTTCAAAATTATTTTCTACTACAACTGGATTCCTTTTTTCCATAACAGATCAGAAGTTCAGATTCTTTACTTTGATGCTTAAGCCTTAGTATTTTGGCTCCAATCCAATGTTTCTCTTTCTGTCGCTCTTCTTTTTTTGGATGGGAGCAAACCTGCAACCTAGGTATGTGGCCTTGACTGGGAGTCAAACCCACGACCCTTCAGTCCCCAGGCCAGTGCTCTAACCACTGAATAAACCAGTCAGGGCCAATGTTCCTCTCTTATTCCCTATAATATGCAGCCAGTCATGACCTATTCCTCTTCACTAGACTATGTGGAGTTTTCAGGCTGACCCACACCTTCTCGCATTTCACTCATGCTTTTCTCTAGGCCTGCAATAACTTTCCCCTTGTTTTTCCCCAATTTATCTTCTAAACTCCAAATTTGTTTCTCTAGGAAGCTTTTCCCTAGGTACCCACGAAGAATTTATCACCCTTTCTGCATCCCCAACCACTTCTTCCACATCTCTTTTATCAATTGTAGATGTTTTTGTTCATAAGTTAAGAGCAAGGTCTCGTAACTTATGACACCTCTTCATTGCTCACCATACTTGCTATATGCAGTAAACCTTCAAATACTGGTAATAATTTTTGAATTATGATGCTCCAAACTAGGTAAGGCATGTGTTCTTCTCATAAGGATTTTAAATAATGCAAAAACTATAATCATAATGATAAAAAAGAAGATGCTGAGAAGCAGCCACTAAATTGCCATGTGAAAAACAGGTAACAGGGTAGGGTAAGACCTTAGTCAGGATTATAGCCTCAGGCATAACATTGCATATCCCGCGATTTGTCTGGAATCCTGAGTGGCAGAAATGGTGTTATCTAGTATTAAATGAGCAAGTATGTTCCAAAGCTCTATTTGAACAGATATTCATATTTAGTCTAAATTATTTTCTTCATACCAACAAATGCAGATTCCTAGGGGCCCTGATCCCCATGTTTGTTATCGTGAAACCCCCGTATCGCCTCTGCATGAAGCCAACCACACCTGCAGCACACATTGCAGTCATGTTGGGTCCAAATGACAAGTGTTCCAGGGCAATTGGAAAGGAGGGAAAAATAAAAGCAGCCAGCTTTTTTTCTTTTCTTTCTCTTTTTTTCTGAGTATTTAAAACTTCATCATAAAATAACTTGAGGAATGTTCATGATTTAAGAATTTCCTTAAGCCTGGAGATTCATGCTCAGGCCCAGTATCTGCTGTTGGAAAATGTCTCCAGTTTATCTTTGAAAGAAACCCACACTTCAGGGAACCCTACAGCAGTCCTGAGTCTTCTGACATGTGGTCTGAGACTCAAAAGCTCAACAAGGACCCTTTCAAACTCGGGTTTCCCAACTGGCCTATTAGCTTGCACATACTGATTAAGCTGTTGGCTGTCTGCCTCATAGCTGTCGTCTTGCTACTTTCATTTTCAAATGCTATTGATTTGGCTGTGTTGGCAGGTAATGGAATGTCTCAAAGCCCAAGCATGCTACCTGCAGCATATCATTATAACTTCTGTTACTTGTACCATATTCTAACCTTCTGGCTTATAATTAAAACTACATGTGACTGATATTAGAAAATTTCCAGCCCAGGCCTCGTGGCTTAGTGGTTGAGTGTCGACCCATGAACCAGGAGGTCAGGTTTCTTCGATTTCTGGTCAGAGCACATGCCTAGGTTGTGGGCTCGATCCCCAGTAGGGGGTATGCAGGAGGCAGCCAATCGATGATTCTCTTTTATCACTGATGTTTTTATCTCTCTTGCTCCCTCTCCCTTCCTCTCTGCAATCAATAAAAACATATTTAAAAAATAATTTTTTTATTATTTAAGAGAGTTAATATTTTGTATTAATACTTGCATAGACATTGACATATTTTAAATTATTTTTAGATAATTAGAAAATAATTTAATAATTGAAATATGATATTTTAATTTAGAAATCATTAATTACTCTGAAAAAAATATCCATTTTGGCTTGCTACATTTTATCTACACTTTGTTAACATTTAGGGAAATAGTGTGACATAGAAGCAAGGACATTGACTATAGAGTTTGGAGATTTTTCTCTGCTCTGCCTATTACTAGCAGGTCGGTGTCCTTAGACAAATAATTTAAACCCTTTTAGCCTCCGATTTCTCATCTATAAAATGTGAATCATCAATCTTGATCTATCTACCACCCAGGATATTTATAAGGACCAGGCAAGGTGAATCTGAAAGATATTTGAAAAAAATTAAAAACACGATTTTAATCTATATTCTATAAACTCCATAGCATTCTCCTTCTTCTTTTCTTATTCCCAGCTTATTTGCTTAAATTGAGCTAAAGAGAAATAAAGGTTCATCTCTTTGGCAGCCTTTGGGTGTTAGTCTGGTTAGCATCTGCTGCTTCTAAGAACATCTTCCTCCTGAGGTCCCTGCTTGCCTTATGGTATTCCTTTTGCTAGGCTCCAGGCAGACATTGGGGTTACAACTGGGTTACAATTATTTTAAGTAGGCTTCTTCTTTCTCCTGAGTTCCTTTGTAGTCAACATGAGAAGTAGTGCTTGCTGTGACCGTCAGCAGGTACAGATATCAGCTGCAGACAAGATAAAGGGAGTCCTAGCCTTGGCTAACTGATGACAGGGCAGGTATCAGGGGAATGACTTGGCAGATGGGCAGGCCACAGGGATAAGAGTCTAATAGCAAGCCTAGCATGGAGATCCCTGAGAAAGAGGTGGCATGGAAGAAGGTGGGGAATAGGAGGACTGGAGACGTGACCTCAGACTCTGAGGCTCAGGAGTACCAGGGTCAGACTCTAGTCCTAAAATAACAAGATAATGACACAGACCCTTTTATTCAATCGTGGATGTCAGATAAGTCCGAAAGAGCAAGGCAAGTATTTGGTGGCTTAGGCTGAATCAAAAGATCATCACAGGTGACCCAGACAGGAAAATGGGATAGTTGAGTTGTCAAGATGTAGATTTGTAGGGGTCAAAGTTGTCCCAGAGTTTTGGCAGAGTTCAGCCTACAGGTGTTGGTCAAGTGTCCTGACCACGAAGAATTAGAGAAATATTAGGGTTGTGGGCAGGAGCCAGGTCTGTTAATGAATGTCAGTCCTTTTCACAGAACACATTTTCCTTTCTCTCTTAAAGTCATACATTGACCTAAAAAAATCCATAAAGGGCTGGATTTAGATTCTATAGATTTTACTCTCCCCTTCCCCCTTCACTGCAGAGTTCTTATTATTTTTCTACTGGCATTTTCCTATGTAGAGCTCTTAACACTGCCATCACTCTTATTCACAGTTTTCCATTTCTTATTTACATTTCCAAAGGTTCTTATTCACATTTTTCCATTTCGTCTGAAAATTATTTTGTAAAATTTCCATACTTCCAGACAATACTCTTGCTGTTTCTTTAGAAACTCTATTTCTATAATATCACAGCCTAAATTCTCACTCCCCAGCTTCCACCAGGTGTTACAAAGCTTTCACCTCAGTGATTTCATTTTGCAGTTTTTGACATTAAAGCAGTAAAAGATGGCCTCTTATTGAATGCTGATCCTGCAAAACAAAAGCCATGAGGTGGTAGTTTTGTGAAGGTGTCCAATTGTTAGACGGATAGAACTCTGTTCTAATGAATTATAAAGTCTGTTTCCATCCAGTGAGACTATTCTGTGCTCTGAAAACAGCTCCTGGTAGCTGACACTTTCTGCTGCACTGTTCACTCATCCTGAATAATAGATGCTTCCTACAGTGAAGTGAGGGGACATTGGACACAGTTTAAATTTAGGAGATAAATTGATTTTTCACTTTAAAAAACTTTAACATATATGTACAAAATTCATGTACATAAATATATAAGGGATCTATGAAAACAAAGAAATTCTAAGTTAAATTTTGAGATCTTCCCACATTTAGCCCATACTACCACTTTTGGTCAACCTTTGGCTATGAAAAATTGATGCACACAGCACAATGCCTTTGAGTTTTGAGCAGAAAATTAAATTATTGCACTAAGAGAGAGGGGATTGATCTTTTAAAAACCATTTCAACAAGTATAGAGCACATAAAAAGAAATTCTGTTAACCTCCAACCCCATGAGGCATCTGTGTAACTGGGCTTTGGGAATAGTCCATGTCTTTCTTTGAAAACATGTTACAAGATAGGTTTCACACACATTTTTTAGGGATAGACAAAGGAGGCAAATAAAAGGGCAGTAATATGGATGTAATAAGGGGATACGGGATAACCGGACACACTTCAGGAATTCATCTATACAACTGTCCGTGAATGGCACAGCTCTACAGAGATGCATCTGGGGTACCTTTCGCTGAGGGCACACGGGGGATTCCGGATGCATATCCAGAGGCACTGTACCCTTACCTTGATGGTAGCCAGGACCACCTCCATTATGGTGCACTGTCTTAGTGTCAGACCCTTGGCATCCTCTCGAATCATGTGCTCCTGTTAAACAGGTTAATAATTGCTTATACCAGTTCATTAACTTAACTATTTTCAAACAAAATCTGTATAATCCCCATATGAAAACATTTTTATTTGAAATACTTTCTTATTGACACTTTTCAGATGATTAGTTTGTCATATATTAAATAGCCATTTTGCCGAAAGAAGAAATGCTACTAGTAAATATTTACTTAAAGAATAGTACTTTGATTCATTATGGTTTTTTCCCCACTTACAAGTTAATGTTACAACAAAAGAGAGAAACCTGAAAAATGTGAGTCAAAGCTTTTTTCACCTTAATTCCTTGCTTTATGTTCTTTAAGACTAAAGCAGGTCACTATGGAAAAGATTTAAGAGGTGAATTCTAGCCTCTCTCAATTACTACTGATAAAGTCATGCCTTCAATTTATTCTCTTTCTTGGAGCCCCTCATTGCTTAGTCATTACTAGGAAAAGGTTAACTGACTCTATGACTCGATATTTTCAATATTTCAAAATAATTTTTCAATATTTTAGAACTGATTTTCATATTTTACAATGGATTTTTCTCATTGTTCAATGTGGACTATCTCAATCCATTAGTCAAAGCTTCTGTAGGGAAATGATGGTAGAAAATTGAAGACAACAATAAAAATAGAAATTTGCCTAAGAGAAAAATTTTAAAACTACTGAATTCCCCAATTAATACAATCTCCCCCAGGCTGCCACTATTCTAGTCAATAAGCTCTAACAAATATTTATTGAGTGCTTATTATGTGCCAGTACTGTTCCAGATGATTGAGACATATGGCGAATAAAGAAAGACTTTTGCCCCCCTGGAACTTAAATTCTAGCTTCTACAGGTACCTTTGTATGAATTTGAGGAAATGGCCTTATGGGTGTACACAGCTTCAGGAATGCATGGCTTGATTCATGGGTCAGTGCCTTTGGTCAGTAATAAAAGGTGTCTCTTTTTCTTTGGGGCACAGCTCCACATCAGCACGTATGGCTTGGCAAATGGAGCCTGGGCTTTATTTAGACCATTATTTGCTACCTTAGCCAGGAATGGTTATAAAACAACCAGTTCATTAACTCTGTTCAATTCACAAACTGTGCCATCAAAACTAGTGGCTCATCACTCTGTTCTATCCCGTATGCTGTTAGTAGATGCCACGACTTCCTGAAGGTGGTTTCTGTGTATTACCTCTGTAGCCTTTCAGTACCTATCTTGGCAATCATCACCTGCTAGGCATTCAATATATTTTTGGAACTGAATTGCACTTCTTTCACCTTTCTTGTAAAGTTCAACATGCTTAAATAGAATCACATTCCTTTGAATATTGAATGTTGAAACCACGGTATAATGTTTCATGGACCCATGGTATACATGTCTGCATCTCACTGCATCTTTCTGATACAGGGATTTCAACTCAAACATGTGTGTCCATTTAATATTTTTAAACATAAATATTAAATAACCATTGAGGCTCAAAGAGTAATGAAAAATGTTTGCTGAATTATAGGGGGGAATGCTTTAGGATAGGCAAGTAAATACAAATCTTTTATATTAAATAAATCCCGGGCTTCATCAGTCTTGACTAGCTTTACAATGTGTTCTAATTGTTTAATAGATGTTAATCAATAATATATGTGGTGCTGTAGAAAACCATAATTCTTGCTAGAAAAATTTTTCTGGGATTTAACAATAGCTCATTCAAATAAGGGAGTCTCTGAAAGAGGCTGGCAATGAGTTATTGCCCAATGAGTTACCTTTGCGTATGATAAACCCATAGTCTCAGATGTATTTTTCTTCATTGGTTTGATATTGTATTACTACTTGTCTATAAGATGTATTCATTCAAAACATTATGACAAATCTGATCCCATTAAATAGTCAAAAGTTGGGTATACATAATATCCATACATCATGAAGTTCCAGAAACAGGAGGTAATAAATATATATCCAACTGCTAAATAAATACTTGTTTTATGAATCCACTCAAAATTTTAGTTCCCTCATTATTCTATTTTCTTTGATCCTGTGTTCTTTTAAGTAAGCTTATTTTTTGTTAATATTTCTATATAGGATTTCTAAATTTATCCATCGGTACAATTATTTTAAATAGTACTTTTCCAGTAAATCGAATCTGCTTTCATACTAACATATAAACAATGCAAAGGCCCAAAGGTTTAAAAAATTAGTAGTAATATTCTAGTGACATAAGGGACAATAGCTTTGTAAATTTTTAAGTTATTTTTTATGGCTAGAATTTTAAGTTTTTGCATATGATTATAGAGGATTTATTGCTTTGGAATTCAAGTAAATAATTAAATGGACTAATAATTTAAAAACTAAAAAAAAGCAAGGGTCAGCAATAGAAAAATATGATACAGAACTAAGTTATTTTCCATCACCTATGGATACCAAGATTCTATTTTTAGTTCTTCAGATTATTACAGTGTTGATGCACTAACCCTTTCGTACATTTTATTCATAATTACAGATGATTAGTTTATTAAAAGTAGAGTACCTGTTATTAGTTTATTACAATCAAAAGAGAATTAATTGAATTGATAAAATATGGGGGCTCCAAAGGGACCTAACTTAGCATGGACTGTGATTTTTCTCACCCAGCATGCATGTACCCTCTGAGGAGCCAGTCTCCATCCCATGCAGAGTTTATAAGATTTGAACAGGCCTGACTGCAAATCAGGGGTGCCTATGTGAGTTAAGGCAAATGGCATATGTCATTCCCCAGGCCACAGTTGTTGGCTTGGGAATGGTGATAACACTCCATCAGAGCTGATGATGTGCCAGTGGGCTTTGCTGGAATTCCTTGCATCAAGGTGGGTATTCTCTACAAGATTTCTGGTTCAAAGATGTTAGATACTGAGCAGACAGCTATTGTACAAACAGAAAGGGAGGTATGTTACAGTAACACATCACATAAGGAAAGAGCAGCTGAGAGGTAGTAACTGGGTTCTATAACATCGTTTGAGTTCTTAATCAAGCAGTGATAGAAAACAGAGTTGTCCCAGGACTATAAAGTTTCATGTAGAAATAAAAATCCTTCTTTGCTTATGTTACTCTGGCTTTTCATCACCTGGAATTGAAACACTTCTGGCTGATGTAACGATCCATTCAGGAAATGGAAACTTGGGGAGATGGAGTATGTTTCCTAATATCACACAGATGCTAGAAGCGTGGCCAGGGCCATTTCTTTTGTAATGACACACTATGCTGTTTCACCTTCATGGTTTTATAGGAGCAACTTCAACACGTAAAATTCATTTTTCAAAGTAGAAACTAGAAATCCCAGGAAGGTGTACGAGGGATAAAGTAAGAGATCCGAGATACAAAATAATAGTCTGGCAGTGACATCTACCTTCCCTTTGAACTATCGAAATCACTGAATACCTGTAAAAACAATTTTAGGTGATGGTTATGTCTTCTAAATGGATTATTGGCTTTTTATTTTCCTGAGGAAGGGGATAATGTAGGTAATAAAACAGGATTCTGAAATTACAGGGTAGCTATTTTTATCAGAATAAGTAATTACACAGTCAAATGGATTATCCTCCCCCTGTGTTACACACTAAACAATTCTGTGGTACCTAACTGGGAGCTGCCAGCTGGGGGAGGAGACAAATAGCTGTTTCTGTGAGTAGGAGGTGGTATTCTCTTTGTAGTTACTATGCAAAGACAGTGTCCCATTATCTCACTTAGCCTCACAACAGTCCCATGGACCAAGTGTTAAACTGTTTTGCATTTTACAAATCCCACATCTGAACATTAAAGAGGTTAAATACTTTGGCTGGTGTCACCATAGTTGGAAGCACCTGAGGTAGAACTGGAGCCAAGGTGATCTGTGTCTGGAACCCACCCCCATGCGACATTATATTCTAATCCATAAAAATGAAACAGAACAGCCTGTATTTTGACTATAGTCACAATGTTGGCCTATGTGTGATCCACTGATGAATGAATGAATGGATGAAAGAAATGTGGCATATACATACAATGAATATTATTTGGCCTTTAAAACGAAGGAAATCCTGCCATATGTGACAACATGGATGAAATCGGAGGACATTATGATAAGTGAAATAAACCAGTCACAGAACAATAATATGTATTTTAACCAGTCAAGTTCCTATCCTGACTAGCCAAGTTCCTATCACAGCTGCAAAGTATTAGGGATCTCAAGCGATAATAAAAGGCAGGGTTACTTAGTCAGCAAATTCTCATTTATAATGGTGTTTAATATGTTGAAAATTTAATATCTGCTTTGAGGAGTTTCATTTTCCCAATTAGACCTTTTGCCTATAAGACCTCTACACTTTATTGGATTTCTATGACACATTGCAATTTGCATTTATTCACATAAAGCCATTTTAATATATGAAAGGAAGTACGTTCTCTAATTTATTCCAAAAGCAGTAATGCTGCATGCTACAATACAAAGTCAATTAGTAGTTGCCCTCCTAATTGGAAAATGTGAGCAACATGGTGGAAAGGGAAAAGAAAGCAAAATTCAGTCCCTATATTTGACCTGATTCCTCCTTCAAGCGACTGTGAGATCCCAGACACACATGTTCTTAGTCCTGCCATGGTAGATACCATAACCGGTAGGAGGATGGTTTCTTGCAGAGCTGCAGTTAGCTCATCACTTTTCACAGACAACCAGTAATGTTATGAATTCTTATTACCTTTAGTTTCGATAATTGTCCAAGATCTTTAGCAGTGATGAAAATCATCTGGGGTCCCTAGAGATACACATTAAAAAAAAGAGAGAGAGAGAGAGAGAGGGAAGATTTAGTCTTAAAAGCTTTAGTAATAGTTGCATTAGAAATGTGGTCAATAGAGAATTTGCTTTATTTCCCTATATTATTGGTGACTTTTATGCCAGATGCCCTTAGTAGGTCTATTTTACAGATTGGGTCAAAGATATCTAGTACTGCCAGCTTATAATTGTCCTCACAGGTACCCTACTTCTGCAGGCTGTGAGTCTCGGTTACTGAATGGATTGTTGCTTCCATAGTCAGTTTAGCATGTGGATTCAATCAGTGATCTTTAAATTTCATTAATTTACCTTCAAATGAGGCAACTCCTTTACTCCATTCCTTCCCAAAATAAATCTGCAAAATTTTAAGATACAGAGATGAGGAAGGTGAGCCGTTACTCCTGAGGTGCTGTGCCAGTTCTCAGAGACCTGCCCTCCCAAGCCCTCCCTCAGCTGTAGCCTCTTCCTAGAAGCCTAACATCCTGGAAATAAAATACTGGAATAAGCCATCTACCACACTACTGGAATAAATAGCTAGAGGCATATCTATTGGTAAATGTGACAAGAAAAGTAATAACTTTGACTAAGTTCATTGGTAATCTAGAATATTTTCACAGTAAGAAAAACGATCATTCTGGAGTAACAAATCTCCATTTTTTTAGTGGAGCCTGTATATTCATTAGGAAATTAGAAATGACAAAGTTCATGAACACAGCAACTGATTTATTTTGCCTTATTTTATCTCCAGCACCCAGCACAGTACCTAGTGTACTGTAGCAGAACCTCAAAGAACATATATGGAATGAATCAATAAGTGATATAGCTTCATACTGAGAGATCTCAATGCTAGAGAAAATTGTTATGGTCAGCTTTCACAGGGAAGGTCTATATCAAAAGCGAAATGTCGTCGATAGTATTTTTGCTATGTCATGATTTATGTCTTCTCATACTCTACAGAATTGTGCACTAGAAACAGTAGGGCTCATGGGGGAAATAGCAGTGGGCAGCATTGCTGAAGCTTATGTAATTTTGTTAACAAATAATTGTCAAAAACAATAAATGCTACTTTGGGAGGTAGCATGCAGGTTGCTCATTGAGGCTAGTGGCTGCTTCAAGGAATATTAAAAATTCAAAAACATACCCCAAACAAAGAACAACAAAACAAGAGAGTACAGTTATGGGCTGAGACAATACCCATACAAGCAGGGGGAGGGTAGCCAGCCGTGTGTGAGTCATGAAAGGTGCATCGTTCTGGATCGAAGGCTTATGGACAAGTGGACTCTCCCACCACTTGAAATTATTATTTAAAAAATATTTTTATTGATTTCAGAGAGGAAGGGAGAGGGAGAGATAGAAACATCAATGATCAGACTCATTGATTGATTGCCCCCTGCACGCCATACACTGGGAATTGAACCCTGATCTCCTGGTTCATAAGTCGATGCTGAACCACTGAGCCATGCCAGCCAGACAAAATAATTTTTTTTAAATTGGGGATGAAAGGACACTTGCCTATGTAATAACCAAGCTTAGTCCTTTTTTTTTCTTTTTCTGAAGTTTATAGTTCTCCTATTGTATTCCAAAGCCTCTCACCTAGGAAAATTCTATATAAGCCAATTACATGATCACTAACTGGTATTTTAGAAATGCCTTACATATTGTAGCAGAGCAGGGTCTGTGTGGGGGTGGTGTGTGTGTGTATGTGTGTGTGTGTGTGTGTGTGTGTGTGTGTTTGTGTGTGTGTGTGTGTGGGTGTTTACATGTGATTTGGCTACTCATATGTACAAATGATGATACCACACATTAATGGCATAAAGCAAAACTTAAATTAATTTATATTTTATCACCCACTGTTGGCAGTAAATCAATAAAAACATATGTATCTTTGCATCTTGAAACACTTTACATGAAAATATTTTCTATATAATTTCATTGGATAAATATGAGTGTGCATAATTAAGGGCTCAACACAGATTTTAGTTTAAATTACACATTATTTTCATCAGCTTGTCTTCCTCACAGAAAAAAAAAGAAAATTACTCTATAATGGGTGCTTGTTAGGATTATTTTTTAACTTACTTGGCTCAGGATCTAGGAATTGAGAATCCTAGCATGGTGTATCCATTTGGCCATGGTCTAACTTTGCTGCCAATCGACCTTTCTGGTTCTTTTTCCATTTTACTGTGTATGATACAATTATGTGCTTCAAATCCTCTAAAAGATGTCTCCTCTATTAACCTCCATGGGGGAAGTTAATAGATGAAAGCAAAATGTACAGAGGAAAAAAAATCTCATATGGTAGTGCTGAATTTATCTCCTTAAAGAGTGAGGTTTCAGAAAGAAACACAGTGGGGATGTTCTAGCCTAAATCGAATTCTTTGGAGGTTCACAGTAATATTTAAAAAAATTATGTGTGTAGACCAGATAACCCTATAAGTTTAACTTTGCTACATTTTTTCAAGAGATGAAGTGTGATTGCTATTCCCATTATGTAAAATTGATTTGCATAGAATAATGTTATTTGAATGGTCATTATTAAGACATTGTATACCAAACACTTTTTCTCAAAGTGGGTTTAATTAATACTTCATCTGGATCAAATCCACTCAGTAAAACAGAAATCAATTAGCTGGGTTATTGAAAGTAAAATCAAACTTAGTTTAAACACTTACTGTTTGATCTGTCAGAGCAGGGAGAACAATCTGTTTTTCTATTGTGTTTAGAACTAGCTTCCATAGCTCTTTCAAAAGTCGCTTCAGAACTGTTTTCTCACAGATTTTTGCTGAGAGACTCAATCTGAAGTAAAATAAGACATACAATCACTTATGAATCTCCTATCTAGGTTTCAACTTATTTTATTGATTAGAGATTTCCATTTCTCAATACTGTGGTTCAAATACCCAAATAGGCCTTTACAGTATTCAAATACTAAATTTCAAATAAAAAATACATATCAAAAATCTATTTCATCATACGATACATTAGATAACTCACTAATTAGTAGAAAATGAATTCAGACTATTTCTTTACTTAAATTGTTTCCTAAATTGACACCAAGGCTCCCAAAGTACATGATTTTTCACCCTCATTCTCGACTTGTGTTTACCACATGCTCTGTGTCCATGGTTCAGGCCAAACACCAACCAAACACATCTGACCACTACCTGGCTCTGAGCCAACATAACAAGATGGCAAAGATGCATACAATTTCCCTCAAGAGCCGATATTTATCAACTTTATTAATTTTCCAGTTTTATTGATATACAATTGACATATAACATGGTGGTAAGTTTAAGGTGTACAACATAATGATTTGATATACTAGTATGTATATATTTTGAAATGATTACCACAATAAGTTTAGCTAGCATCCATTATCTCACATATTTATAACTTTTTCTTGAGATGAGAACTTTTAAGATCTACTCTCTTAGCAATTCTCAACTACACAATCCATTATTGTTAACTGCAGTCACCATGCTGTACGTTATATCCCCAGGACTTATTTCTCTTACAACTGGAAGTTTGTACTTTTTGACCACCTTCACCCTTTCCCACACATCCCCATCCCCCACCTCTAGCAACCCCCAAAGTTGTTCTGTTTCTCCGAGTTCAGTTTTGTTTTAAGATTCCAAATTTACCAACTTTAATAGGTTTAAGGCATCTGTTACAAATTGTTCCCGTGGTGAGATAATGATGGTGACATCATCTAACATTTATATAACAGCATTGTTTGGTAACCTCTTCTACAGATATTTCTCACCTATTACTGTATACATTTCAGAAGTCAGAAACAGACTCAGAGAGATTAGGGAACTTGCCCAAAGAAGTGAAGCCGGTGAGGACTAGATTCAAAGCCAGGCCCTTTCTCTAAATCCACATGCCCCGCACTGTCCTTGATAAATGTGTTTGTGTACGAAGGCCCAGCAGTACGTGAAGACACACTGCTGCATAAATATTTACTGAATGTCCCAAAAGATGACAATGAACTCTGAGACTTTAAGAAGAGCTAATTAAACGTATTTCACAGTGTGCCAAAGGTGGGTCATACATGTCACGAAAACTTCACTGATGACAGTGTGCTAAATACTCTGTATACTTTTGGACTCAGGAATTATAACCTGGGTTGTGGTTCTGAGAGAGGTAGAACTGACTGCTTTAAATATTTAAATATATAATTAACATTTAAATAATCAAAGTAATAATTAATATTTAAAGGCATGTGACATGTGAGAGGCAAAGGGAGAGATTTCCAAAATGCATTTTCATGTAGAAGTGTTTCTCCTAACACTATAGAATGTGAATACTGAATATATAAAAATGCATGAGCCCTAGTTGGTTTCGCTCAGTGGTTACAGCATCAGCCCGTGGACTGACGGGTCTTGGGTTCAATTCTGGTCAAGGGCATGTACCTCAGTTGCAGGCTCAATACCTGGCCCTGGTCAGGGCGCGTGCAGGAGGCAGCCAATCGATGTGTCTCTCTCAAAGCGATGTATCTTTCTCTCTGTCTCTCTCCCTGCCTTCCACTATCTCTAAAAATCAATGGAAAAAAGATCCTCAGATGGATTAACAACAACAAAAATGCATGAAAACACCTCCTCTGGATAAAGAGGAGAGTTGGGAACCCTGAGGCATATTCATGAAACTCTGTAGCCCCCGTCATTTAGCAACAGTTGTTCAAGGGTAACGTCTGGACATAGGGCAGAAGCCAGCAGATGTCTCACAGCAGAACACCAGGATGTCTCTAGCCTCAGAGGAATCCCTAGGATAATGTAAGATGCAAAAAATCTGCCATGTTGTCAGCAGATGTGTAATTTCCATTTTTAAAAGATCCGAGTTTAAGAATTGATCTTGTTTTTATGGGCAGCTCATGTACTTGGCGTGCTAACGACCTCTGCTTAGACTGGAACTGAATGAATGGGTATAGAATCACTGACATGTTTGCAGCTCTGCGTGAGATTTCTGCCAGCTGGAAGTTTACAGCTCGTTTTAGAGAGTGGTGAGGTTGTGGTAGAGAAAATGAAACATAAACAAATAAGATGTCTTATTTAGAGAAGCTGCACAAAGACAAAGAGAGCCTATACAATTTCTAAGGAGACTTTCTCAAAGCTACCTGGAAGACTTTCAGCTCACTATTGCTGATTTTAAATAACAGGAAAAACAACAACACACCCCAAGTTGGGGCATCTAGCAACTGCTTCCTTAATTTAGTCAGAGATAATCAACTTGATGATGTAAGCCAAAAAGTATATATTTGGAACCAGAGCTGTCTAGATTCTCTGATCACAGAACCAATCAACCAGAAAATTGTCAAATGCCCTGTATATTAGTTGGCCATGGAGATATCCTGTCATATAGTTGATAAGATTTTCATGATAACTTATTCAACTTTTCTCTCACCCCCTGGAAATGTTCATCCCTCATTTCCATATATTCAAACCCAATCCATCTTTAAAAACCCAAACCAAATCAGCCTTGGTTGGTGTAGCTCAGTTGGTTGGGCATTGCCCAGCGTACTATAGCATTGCCAGTTTGAAGGCAGCTCTCTCTGCCCCGCTCTCTTTTCCTCTCTCTCTATAAAAATCATTTAAAAAAACCAACAACAACCCAAATCAAATTTATACTGATTGTTTGACCAGGAGATTATTTCTTTAGACCTTATTGTGTTTACTTGTATACCTTCCTTATTTTTTCCCCCTAATCTTGAGAATAGAATTAATATGATTTTTTAAAAAATCTCCCCTAATAAGTGGCTTTAGGGTTATGCACTCTGAATTACCCCTAGAATTCTTTCAACTCTTTATGACTCATATAATAATTCTTGCCAAAAAATTTCAAATCTCTGTCACAAATTTTGAAGCTCATAGATGTTTTTTCTATCTTTATACACCATCTTTACTAATACTTATAATTATATGTATGATGATGTAATTAAGTATAATAAGAAATAGAAAATTAAAACTGAGTAAAATAGGACTCTAAAATATACTAAAAGGAAGGGTTTACTTACTTCATATATTAGCCCCATTTTATAGACGGTAAAATGGATTGAAGGTCCCTCAGCTAGTAGCTGACAGTATCAGGATAACTTAAAACTTTCTGTATGTCCCACAACTTTTGGTTTACAGTATATCCCAAAATACAAAGTTTTGATAATGATAAATAACATATCTACACACTGCTGTTAGAAATCTAAAAACATAAGGCATTCCAGTAGGAGTTTTCAGAGGATCAGAATTGCTTTGTCCTGCTTTTGATTCAACTTCACATGGGCAACCAAATGGTAGTGTGTTCATGTGGTTCAATCCTGTGTTGCCCATAGTAGAGATCCATACAATAAAATAAACATTTAGGGGTTGTATAAGGTATTAGGTGATAAGAGTAAAAGTCTACATTAAGAAACAAAAGAAATGAGAAGTCTTTCTCCCTGCCTTTCTTTCTCTCTTTTCTTCCTACCTTTATTTCCTTCTTTCCTTTCTTCTTTCTGCTACTTAAATCTTCCACCCTCACTTGCCTGCCTACCTCCTGCTAAGCTAATTACCTACTCATCTGTCTTCTAGACATTTCCTCATAGAGGACAGAAAAGAAGACTTAACATACCTACCAAATACTGAAATCAAAGTGATGGGAACATTAGTTTTACTCATGTGTAAGATTATAAGCAAAGGGAAGTGGAATTAAAATAGAAGTTATAAATATACAGAAGAGCTTTTCCCTAGGTTTTTCTTTGCTTTTATCTTTAAAGAGAAGTATTGCATCCTTCTCATTTGTCTTGGTCCCTTTGGCATTAATTAATTTGCCACAACAATATTAAATGAAGTAACACATGTAACTACCAGGTATGACACCGGTCCCTTGGTAGGCATTCAAAATTATGTTTTGCCTTTCTCTTCTACTTTCAACTCTGGTTTCAAGTATCACTGTTTAAGAAGTCGCGTCTCCGGTTGCTTTAGATCAACAGTTCCCAATTTTGGACACATGTTAAAACATAGGAGCCTTGACTCTACTCCAAACTTATGAAATTAGAACTTCTAAGAGTAGGGACTGAGCAGAAACTTCAAAACAAAACAAGACAAAACACACACACACACACACACACACACACACACACACGCCAGAAACTTCAAAACAAAACAAAACAAGACAACACACACACACACACACACACACACACAGGCAAGCAAACAAAATTTTTTGGTTAAGAACACTGTGTTAGTTGGTCATAAAGGCCTCCATTCTCACCCACTCCCACCAACTAACCTGTACTCTCCACGGAGTCAGGGCCTGTGCTTCTCTTTTTCACTATCTAATGCCTAGACTAAGGCTTGGTACAGATGGGCGCTCAGTAAGTAGTTGCTGGAGGTTGAGTTGGGCAGCTATTTACTTGCCTCCTAATGCCTAGACTAAGGCTTGGTACAGATGGGCGCTCAATAAGTAGTTGCTGGAGGTTGCTATTTACTTGCCTCTGAGCTGAATTAATTCTAGTCACATTTGTGCTATTCTCTTCCTCAGTAGGTTTCTGACACAAAATCAGATATTCTGGACTTAACTCAGTCTTTTTTTTTAAATGTTTAACAGGTTGTAAAACGATACGCTTTGTGAGGAGCATAATATCCTCAAGCTCTTCCCCCTCAGAATAGCAACATCCTCAGTTACCAATATTTAGTTCCTTTCCATGATTCCTTTCCTGTTCAAAATCACTCCTGCTTTTTGGCCACTAGTAATGGACTAAAAGTGTTTTGCTTTTTGATGAATTAATATTGTAGAAGTCTTTTTAAAACTGTCCTACACAGAGGAAAACAATTGTTCCCCTTCAAACCATATCAGTCAAATTTAGGGCAATTAATAAAGAGAAAACTGGGTAGAGAACTTACGTTTTGTCCAAGAAGTCCATGAGAGGTCTTAATACAATCTCTGCATCCATTGCCGCACTGTTCTTATTAGATGCAGTATTTCCATTTGTTCTCATTTGATTTAGTTCAAATCCCATCTGTTTTATACACTCCTTAATGATAAGCTGGAAACTAAAAATAAGGAATATAAATACCTGAATAAAAGCATTTATGCCTTTCTTTGCTCATGTTTTTAAATTAACCCCATGGGAGTTTGATCTGTTTCAAGTAGTGTGAATTCCCTTGCTCATTAATTTTTAAACTTAATTCTTCAGCTGAAAAAAATGTTGTTGCAATGAAAGCTTACTTGGAACTCACACATATAAAGCTCTTCACATTAAATGAATTTGAGTGGGGGTTTGTTTGGCCCTTATCTCTCACAGTAATAGCTGAGGTGTTCGTCTGAGAATTATTTGGGAAAATGACTGTTCTTGAAAGATACTTGGTGTCTGGGTTCACATTCTTCACTTGGCTTCTGGGATTCCACTCCTTCTTGGCTTCCCAACGTGGTCGGCAAACTGTGGCTTGCGAGCCACATGCAGCTCTTTGGCCCCTTGAGTGTGGCTCTTCCTAAGCCTTAAGAGTACCCTAATTCAGTTAATAACAATGTACCTACCTATATAGTTTAAGTTTAAAAAATGTGGCTCTCAAAAGAAATTTCAATCGTTGTACTGTTGATATTTGGCTCTGTTGACTAATGAGTTTGCCGACCACTTCTAACCTCACTGGCTGCTCCTTCTCAATTATTACCTGACTGTTAGCCATTGGAGTAGGGTTGCCAAACTTAGCAAATAAAACACAGGATGCCCAGTAATGTGAATTTCAGATAGTGAATATTTTTTAGTACAAGTATGCCCCATATTCATACTAAAACTTATCCATTGTTTATCTGAAATTCAAATTTGGTTGGGCATAGTCTATATTTTATCTGGCAACCCTACACTGTAATCATCTAGGCTCAGTCCTTGGATCACTCCATAAAAATCACTTTCTTGGCAATCATATCTAATCCCAATGGCTTTCATGAAATCAATACACTGGTAATTCCCAAATATACGTCTGGAGACATAACTTATAATCTGAACTCTGGACTGTTTTATTAAACTGACTAATATGGGAAATCTATGGTAAATTTTAAATGATCTCAACTTGGGTGTTTTTCTTGCTCCTGGACCTGTTATAGCATGTTTATAAATATTGGTCCATAATTTTGAGTGCATCATCAAGGCTTGATTCTACTTCCGCTGTCATGTTGGCCTGTTTCCATCTTTGCTTTGTGCCTTCTTCGTGACTTTCTTTACCATTGACAACATTCTTGCTCCTCTGGACTAGGCATTTGTATCTGGTTCCTTGATTCTTGGATATCAGCATGCCCCTATGGATGTGGCTCATTTCTTGGCTCTCGACATATTTATCTAATTCAATGGAACATCCTCTTTCAGGCTCAGGGCCAAAGGAATTCAAATGCATGACCATCTGCCTTTTACCTGGCTAGACCTGCCTTTGGGGAGGGTGGATGGGAGGGTGAAGAAGGTGAGAAAGGGGGTGGTGGAGATGGTGGTATGCTTATTTAGTGAGAGTAGAGGTGGAGGATATTTGGGGCAATGGAAAAGGAAGGTAAGTAATGTTGGACATTTTGACCTGTTGATTTACCCCTGGGTCATCACTGGTCCTGTTGAGTGTAGTGATAATCACTTTTGAGATAGCTACTTTCTTTTGCACCAATTTTCAAGTCAGTAGAGGATAGACTGAGCAGAAGGTATGATATTCACATTCCTAAAATGCATAAATAGATTTCTACAACAGACCCATATGGTAAACCCCCACCAGAAATGAGCTCTGTGTGTGGGATCAGGAATATGGAGGAAGGGGATCAGTGCATGAGAGATAATGGCCTCCTATCTTGGCATTAGTCCAGGGTGAACTAACACGTGCATTTCAGCTAAAAATCTCATTCTATCAATTTTTGGTAAATTCACCTAAAAAGATTTTTTTCTATCTATTTATTTAGTTGAAAAAAAGTCTTTACTAATCAGCTTGAGTTTTTACCAGTTAAAAATGACAGACTCTGTGAGCACCCAAAAAGGCAAACACTCACTTTATAGAAGAATTCCTATAAAATGTTCCTCAATTATTTGTTTGCTTAATCCAGCCAGCTGCTGGTACCAAATATTTCATTCAAATAAATATAGAAAATCCAAAAAAATAAAACTGAAAAATATATGTGCAAGCAAAACCCAAGTGGCACAAGCTGTGCAATTTTAAAAACATCTATATGATAGCATTGAAGTGGTATTACTGCATCTCAGTTCCCAGGCGGGTGCTCTGTGACCATGTCAGGAACCCAGGAACCCAGGAACCCAGCCTTCAGATGTGCGGTTTGGCTTTCCTGGCTTTCCTGCAAAATCATCCTAGTAGGTACATACAGTAGAATTATTTTGTTGTGGGTTTTAATAACAACAGATAAAATGCAGTTTGGGCAATTAATTATGCACTTAATTTTGAAGCTCTCGACCACTAATTTAGACTCTAAGATTCAGATAAAAGTGTCCAGTTTAACTTCACAGCATGATCTCACTGACCAGTACGGGCTTCCCACCTACCCATGTGTGTGATGTAGACCTGGTTAGTAGTGCGGGAAATCAAACCATAGCAACGAGGACATAAGAATTACTCTTTTTATAAGGAAAGCATGACATGTGGGTTATTTATTCCAATAATTCTAGCCCTAAGTAAGCGAAGTATTAGATTTTTCCTATTTGCAAAGACTAAAGAAGATATAGATATTGGGGAACCAGGAATTTCACTATCTAGGTTAAAATAGCTGGCTTCGTATGAGGAGAGTACTTCAAGGGCCCGCCTAAGGACACCACTCCTTATTTCATAACTGAAGTTTGCTCCAGTTTTTTCAAACAAAATAAAACGGTCCAAAGTAAAAGGTACTTGCTCATAAAGATGACTTGGATATATTACAGAAAGTAATTTAAATATACTTTTTCTATTCATACTCTAGTTTCCATTCTGTTTAGTCATCTTATTTCAGAAAAAGTTCCAAACACCCCTAGCTATTCCTGACCACTTTTTCTCTCCCCTTCGCCTTGCTAAATAATCTCTATCTTTGCCTTCCTAGCTGAAGGTAACAGTCTTTCTGCTAACCACATATTAATTCACAACTGAAATCAAGAGGTAAGCCTAAAGTGGCTGACTGAAGGCACCATCACTAGGTGTCACCCCCAAGTCAGAGCCAATTAGTTTCCAAATGTCTGGGACAATGTCAGTCTCTCCAACTGCAGGTAAACAAAACCTTCAACTGCCTTATACACATCGAGGTCAAGTAAGCAGGATCGCCCAGGTCAGCTGGCAACACAGACAGAAGGCAGAGTGACCGCCCCCCGCTGGATACAGCCAGGCTTCTTCTCCCTCAGCACCTGAACTGTGAGGATGGGCTCCGCAAAGACAAAGAACACACCCCTAACCCTGAAGAAGAGGCCATTAGGGATTTTCCTTTACTTTGCCTCATTCCTGTATTTGAGTGAAAATACGATGCTTTCAAGTATCATTTACTTTTTGGTCTCTGATCTCAACTGGCATAACTAATCCATAAAATGCCCATTAAAATGTACCTTTCCAAAACACAATGAGTAATGAGTGGAGTTCAAAGAGCCCATGCCATAAGAGTAATTTTTAAACTTCATTGTATAACTGAACGCATAATTTATAATAGTAAGTCAACATTTATTGAGATAATATTTAAGCCAAGTTCTGGCCCTGGCCAGGTAGCTCAGTTGGTTAGAGCATTGTCCTGATAGGCCAAGGTTGTGGGCTTGATCCCTGGTCAGGGTGTCTATGACAATCAATGAATATATAAATAAATGGAACAAATTGATTTCTCTCTCTCTCTCTCTCTCTCTCTCTAAAAATCAATAATCAAAACTTTTAAAACAAATTATATATGAAATTAAAAAACCTCTTCAAAGATGTGTTTGCTTTCTTATCTATTTTAACATTTGATGATGAGACGGTAGTGTTTTTTTTCTAGAGGACCAAGTGAATCTTATATAGAATAAACTTCTCCCTCTTTAGAACAACGTCATGGACAAGTAGAGCTAATTTTTTTAAAAATTGGGAAAATATGAATGTGTCAGTAATATCCCACAGGGTAGTTTCATTTAGATTTCTAAGCCCTAAAACCTAGAATCTGGACTTAATTCAATTATGGGGATGCAGTTCAGTGATTTGAAAGTACAACCACATTGATATGTATGACATGAATGCAACTCGGACTTACGTATGTAAAGGTTTTCTTTCTTCCTTCCTCCCTCCATTCTTTCAATAACCATTTGGTAAGCTCTAAACACTAGAGTTGCAAATAGGAATGAGATATGGCTTCTGCCCTTAAGAAGCATATAGTAAAGGGAGGGGATCAAGTAGTTAAGCCATAACTTAGAGCAGTGTTGTAAGTGCCACCCCACTGAAGGATGCACAGCGTCCTGAGGATCACAGAGTGAGATAACACAGTAGGATTGCAGGGTCATGGAAACTTTCCAAAGGAGATGATGCTTAGATTAATTCTTCAAGTTAAATGGATTTAGCCAGTCAGGGGAGAGAAACAGCACTGAAGTTCACTACTATGAACTGAAACTTAGTATAATAACTACTCAGGCCACTTACCTTTCCCCGTAAGTGACGCTGAGCTCATCTAGAACCCCACTGAGTTTAACTTGAAGTTCCTTCAGAATAGCACTAGCTTCAGGATCTAACTGCAGAGAGACCACAAACAATGTTACTTTGGAGTTCTGAGAAAACATGCTTTTCTCCTACAAGAATTCTGCTTGTTACAAAGTAATGTTAAACAATAAAACACTTGTGAATTTTTTTCCCTTTATCTTTGAAGTCAAATGCAAAATTTAGGAAATTCTACATAAATCAAAAGAGTTTTTATACATGAAAATATCGATCGAAATGCATCGCATGCATACAAATAACAGCTAGATAGCAAAGCCTTAGCTGGTTGCAGCAATGGGATGCAACGCATAACAACATCAGTTTCAAGGGTATGATTATGTCATAACTTTGAAAAACTATCAATGCATTAGTTAAATATATGTGTTGCTTCAAAAAACATTTTCATCTTTGTATCTCTGTAAATGAATAGGCCCATTAAAAATAAAAAAACTGGTGAAAATTAATTTTTGAGTACTGCATTGCATCTCATTTAAAATATGTTTTCATATTTTTCTAAGTATGGAATTAAATGTAACAGGATAAACAAATTATCCAAGCTCTTCAATGTTTCTCTGAAAGTGACAGGCCTGACTTCTCTTTTTGGGTGTCAATTTGCGACTCAGAGTTCAAGATTCAAAGTTTCTCACATTTATTTTTTAAAGTTTCTTTTTTAATATTTAAGTACTTATATCTTGGAACTAAGCTGTTCAGCAAATTTGGGGGAAAAACATACTAATTAAATCAAAATAGGTTTTTTTTATATGTTTGTTCTTACAGGACAGATTTTAAAAGCCAACTTATTTTTTTATTAGAGTTTAGTTTAGTTTAGTTTTTTTATTTCAGAGAGAGGAAGGGAGAGGGTGAGAAAGAGAGAAACATCAATGATGAGGTAGAATCATTCATCAGCCTCCTGCATGCCCCCCACTGGGGTTTGAGCTTGTAACCCAGGCATGTGCCCTGACTGGGAATCAAATTGAGACCTTCTGATTCGTAGGAAAATGCTCACCCACTGAGCAACACTGGCCAGGCAGATTTAATGTTATGCTATAAAAATAAACAAACAGCAATCTATCATCTTGACAGAATATTTTTATAATTTGTGTTTAAGATCAACACAAAATTTACCAGCATTTAGAATATTGTATCCTGTTTTTAATTATGGTTTTGCAAGTGAGTTGTAAATAGGATGACTTTTCATAGATGTATTATATAAAGCTGCTAGAAATTCCATATAAAGGGAAATCTAGACTATTCTCTGAAATATAAGCCAATCTCCATTGAGTCTTGAGAAATTTAGTTTCCTATTATTAGTACCTATAGTTCTTACAGAAGTGGGTCTACTATTGAAAACAAGAGAATGGGATAAAGCCAACTTTGGGGAATAGAACAAATTAAAGGAGGGCTTACAGCAATAGAATCTAAGGACTATGATTCTACCAAATACATGCAGGACCCAACATCAGTTTAAACACTTGGAGCCAGCCCAAGGACAAAACCAGTATACATTGACCCTGTAATCCCCCCCAAGAGCATTTTTTAATATTAAATAACTGTTAGGGAAAAGTATTATTTATATACCTTAGCCACTGGGTTGCTTTAGGTTGTAATGATGTGACTGAAAACATTGGAATAGAAATTTAAAAAATTGCATTTGACATCTGATGCTTTATTGGTTATATCAAACTAATCCTTGATGTCAAATTTGACTCAAATCCAGATGATTTCAGGATTGATTAGTTTCTACTACTCTATTAGAGCCAATATGATTAGTTTCTACTTCTCTATTAGATTCTTTTGGACTCCATTTTTTTTTTCAGATAGGCTCACAGCTCTTACCTATAGACACACAGGCCACCATAACAAATGTACTAGTAGGCTTTTCTAGGAGCTGGAAAACCAGAATGTCCTTGAGAGCTGTATTCAGCTACAACTAGTTGCAAGGAGTGATTCATAAAGACAACTAGAGAGTACCTATGTAATAAGGGCTCCACTAATATGCATTGAAGCACGATTAGTCTAATAAACCATTACTCCTCAAACTTCAACCAAAATAAGTATGTGGATTGTCATACCCAATCCTAGAGAACCATGCAAACTGAATTTTTTTGTTATATTTTACTGCTGTTGTCCTAAGACCAACTTTAATCTGATTTTATTTGGATAAAATGTTGCAGAATAGGGAATATAAGAGAAGCCCTTCCAGGGCTTCCGGTTCCCCACACCTTGGAAAAAGTGGGTGTAGGTGATAGTTTCTTTCATATCTGCCACCTTCAAGGAAATGGCTCAGACAGTAGGATTCCCTTCAGGAAATGTGGTTGGTTCTTATTTAAAATCAGATTGTGTTTTCATACTAGTTTGATATCTACTCTGAGGTAGTTTGTTCATCTGTTAAGAAAATGACTTTAAAAATCACACAAAATGATTAAATAGGTCAGTTGGGTAAAATGATGCTATTTTCCCATAAATTATTGTAGTCCACTTTAGGTATTTTGTGAATGGAGATTTCTTATCAAATAATTGGCTATTACTTGAAAATCTGAAATAGTCTAACGATAGAATTTTAAATATTGGTTGACCGTTTTCATTTCCTGAGAGAAGCGTGGGTTTCTAAGTAGGTGCTGACAGACAATGCTTATAACCAGGTCAAAAGGGGGATAAAAGAAACCTAGAAAATGTTTAGTTTCAGTTAAGTATTCCATGTTTATCTGATCCAAATCATACCATAAACCATTAAAATAGCAACAGTAATTTTGAGTCCGATATTCAAATTGTAGGTCTTTTGCAATAATAATGAGCATAAATACCATACTCTAATTATAAAACAATCTCTTCAGACTGCCTGAAGAGATTGTTTTATAATTAGAGTGTGTTATAATTATAATTAGTCTGGTAGGTTTCACACGCTCCTCAAAATTTTTGCAGAAAGTCCTTTAATAGATGCTCACTATTTACCAATTCTTGAGTAATTTTGCATTTCTTTATATGACCAAATTGAGGAAATTTTCCTTATTCCTATAAACTCCCTAGAGTTTATAAGAAATAATAATTTGGGCTTTGAGAGTTTATTGCCTAAATTAACAAAAGCATATACTATAAACTATTGGCGACTTTGGAAAGGTCAGAAGCTACCTAATTTTTTTTCACAAAGGTTTAAACTTAGCCTAGTTCATGAGTTATATGATGTCAAACATAAAAATTAACTTGCACCTTTTTTGTTTAATTATGAAATTATTAAAAACCAAAAAAGAAAAAAATTTCAAGCATTCTCAATTCACAGTTAATAAATTTATTTTAAATTAGAAACTGAAGCAGTGTCCCTGAACAACTTAAATGGCTGACAAAAACGAAACAACAAATGGATCCATGTAAAGAGGAATATACTCAATGAAAACTTAAGAATACTGAATCAAATTCTGAGTTTAATAAAGATCACAAAAAGATTTTATAGACACTCTATGAAAAGTTTAAGAATTCCAAAATCTAGGCTAGTTAAGTGTGGTGCTAATGATCGGAATGAACCTTAGTCATATATAACTAATGTCTGAATTTTACACCATTGAGATGTTTTATACCATCCAGCCTTGGTAACTTGTCTGGAAAAGAGAGCTAGCAGGAAAGATATCTCTTAAATCTTTGTCCTTAAAGCTCTTCTACTTTTCCTTTAAAAGAAAATTCACTTACCATCTCCTTTTGCAAATCTTCCTCCACATGTTCACCCTAGGCAGTTAGTAGCTTTAGCTTCTGCACTAGCTCTGCTTTTTCCTATTACTGCCCACACAACCCTCTCTTCTGACTGTTCTCTCATAAATCTCTATCTTCCATGGTGGAACTCTATCTTATTTAGCTTTCTATCTAGGTGTCTGCCTCAGTGTCTGGCATGCCTAGGCATTTACCAAATATTTCAGGAGGGAGGCAAGGGCAGACAGAAATAAGTATGCACAGACTCCCTCAAAGAAAATTCTGATGTCCAGAACACTCCTTTTCCTTGGAACGCTATTTTGCAGTGACTATTAATAGAATCTTTCATTCCTTGGCAACCATATATTCTGGAGTTACAACTTAGTCAAATATTTTTCTGCTTGCCAGACCATGTCAGATTATGTCCTGATATTTCTTTGGCTCAAAAAATATGGTTATCATACCCACACTGCATGTTTGTTTTCCAGCACAAAATCTTTCCCTAAGAGAAGAAAGGGAGGATATGTTATCTCAGCCTCTTACAACAGCAATTGTTAAACCAACCATTAAGGTCTTAGCGAGATTTATAACTCATTGGTTGGGAAGTGGCATTTAAACTCCTTTGAAAACTCAATACAAACTCTTGAAAAAATAAAGACTGTATGGAAGAAGTTAAGGATCGTTAGTGTGAATTTCATTCCTTTTCCAGTGTGCTTTGCTATCTCATTTCCTTTCTCTGTTCTACAGGCTACTAGACTACCTTTTAGCATGTTCAACTCATCAGCGTTAACTTTCCATTACTTGTTTATCTAAAGCTGTGCAGATCAGGGAGGCCGATTGCCCTCATCTTCACAGGGTCCAAAATTGAATCATTAGTCTAGTAGGTTTCACACATTTCTCAAGTTTTTTGCAGAAAATCCTTTAATAAATGCTAACTGCTCCACTACTTCTCTGAGAGAGTAAGCCTCATTTCTAAGAAAAAATGTTGTTCAACTTGAGCTCTTGGTTCCTTCTTTTGGATTTTGTTTCATCAAATATCCCTTTTTCTATTTTCCATCTCTCCGTCATTAATTTTATTACCCTATTTTATAAATGTGCTCAAATAACATTTATGTTAAAATAAAAAGTAGAATAATAAAAGGGGAAAAAACAACTTATTTGGAACTATCTTCCCATTGACATCTTGCTAATATCTTTTCTACTCTTTGAATGGCTCACAACGTAAGTGTAAATTTCACACCCTAATTTTAAATATGCATTAAATCTCTGTGGTGTGGCTTCTGTTCTAGATACTCCACTGAAATGTTCACATATAGGTCACCAACAACCTCTTGGTTACTAAGTCCAATGACTATTT